CAGTTATCGTACTTAGATCGGTATCCGTGGGTATGCTTGTTGTAGTTAGACCGATGACCGTAGGTATGGCAATATAATCTGGCTGATAATTATCAATGCGGTAATCATAGTTGGACTGGTAACCGTAGGTACGGTTACCGGTCCACTACGGTAACCGTACCTACGGTTACCGGTCCACTACGGTAACCGTACCTACGGTTACCGGTCCACTACGGTAACCGTTCCTACGGCTACCGTACCTACTACGGTAACCGTAGGTACGGTAACCGGTTAAAACCGTTGTCAAGAAAAAAAGCATTTTTTTAAGAAAATAACGATATTTTTGTAAAGGTTGACGAAAGTAAATTGAGCTCAGAGAAGCCGAATGTGAAATCGGATCCCTGCACGTTTCAACTTTCACTTTCCAAGACTAAGCCGCTTCTTGAAAATCGTGTTTTTTCTTCTAAACATTTATTCCTGATAAACGTTATATGTGAAGACTAAAACTGATATTTTCAAAAACTGACGTCAGATTCGGATTCTCCGAACCTGATTTACTTTCGTCAACCTTTATAAAATATCGTTTTTTTCTCAAAAAAACTTTTCCTTTGCCGAAAAAATTCATTTCAAAATTTTCAAAAACTGACGTCAGATTCGGATTCTCCGACCCCGATTTACTTTCGTCAACCTTTATAAAATATCGTTATTTTCTTAAAAAAATGCTTTTTTTCTTGACAACGGTTTTAACCGGTTACCGTAGTAGGTACGGTAACCGTAGGAACAGTTACCGTAGTGGACGGGTAACCGTAGGTATGGTTACCGTAGTGGACCGGTAACCGTAGGTAGGGTTACCGTAGTAGGTGCGGTAACCGTACCCACGGTTACCGGTTCGGACCGGTGAAACGGTGACGGTTAACCGGTGATTAATCGTCACCGTTGCATCCCTAATCGCAGCTGTACCAGTAACCGTAGGTATGGCTATCGGTTTCGACCGATGAAATGACCTTCACCGTTGTATTTCTAGTTAATATCAATACTGTCCATATAGAACTACAAAAATTTGCGGTGATAACCGGTTTCCGCTATTACTCAGACAACATAAGACTCAATGCATCTAGCAGTACTAATACGCCGGCATCCATTATGGTTTTTTATAACCTTATCGGCTTGATTCTCTACTTTACTCCAGAATTCTGATCAGTATTTCCCAAAATTAATTAGGACGAGGGATTACTTCTTATGAGAAAATTAAATGCTCGAGTTTCTAAGATGTATCGTGTAGGAGAGACACCGAAATACAAAAAAGTGACCGGTGCACCGGTCCCACCGCCCCACCGTACCACCGGTGCACCGTTCACCGGTCTCACCGTTCCACCGGTTCACCGTTCACCGGTTTCACCGGTCCATCGATTCGCCGTACCGACCGGTGAACCGGTGAGCGGTGGCACCGCTGGTGCGGTGAAACGGTGGACGGTGAACCGTCACCGGTGCATCCCTAGTGATAATCAGTTCTAGTGTGTCACCGTAAGTAGTTTTCTTAGAAAACAGAAATAGGAAGGCAAATGATGACGAAATAATGTAACACTCAACGTAACAATACACAGTTTTATAGTCGTTTCCGATGGTCGAAATGATTGTTTCGGAGAAAAGTGGTAGACACATGGAAAAAGAAATCAAGAAACCAGATCCAATCACAGAATTTCTGTCTCCAAATTTCTATCATTTGCTTGAGTCTCTATCAAAAATACTGTCTCTTTAGTGGGTTCGCGTTGGAAATCCATGGATCCGAAGTCGGAATCTATGGTTCGGATACTGAACTATTTGCATCTGCACCAACTATTGACAGTTTTTTCGAGCAACAACTCAGTAATATTTATAGACAAATACAAGCAATACTTCAGCGAGATATCCTATGATTGTGATAAAGTTTTACATCATTTAAACAAAAACTTCGAAATGTCTTAGAAACAGATGTGCCAGTAACTAGAAGAACATCAAAATCATATATATGATAAAAACAACAAAATGCAATCATAAATTAACTCAAAACTACTTCATTATGTAGAAGAACAATATGACGAGTTTTACTATTTCTTTTAACACTGACTAACTTTGAATTCGACAACGGCTACCACGGCCAGTAAACCGATGACCAGTAATAGGATGCGGATCATCACAATAAGGGTGGGTGTGCGTGTCGATATAAATATGAAACATTTTGACCCACACCCACACCCTCAAGAAGTTCTAGATTCGTATTTTACATTTTGATTTTCAATGCCCAATAATAAAATGATGACTTTTGGCGCCATTCGAAATATATCATTTCGACCATAGTTACCATTGGTAACTATGTTCTGTTACAGACACACAGACAGACAGACACAGATGAATTTCCGTTTCTATACCCTATCCTTTCAGTCTAGGGAATAATGAAAAATAATCCAGAAAATATTGTATTTTCATCATTTCTTTTTTTCTTTATTTCTTTGCTAAACATTTTCAATTCATATAAATCAATTTTTCAATTAGATGGATCATTAAATGAACTATTTCAAACTTATCTTTTTCCATCAGCATCACTTCATGAGATATATAAAGTAAAGAGTTTGCTTTTCTTTATTTAATTAAATATATTGATGATAATTTTAGTATGCATTTTGTGAAGAATGTTGTGTCTCATCATGATGCCTCATATTCATATTGTAAACAAATTTTCATGATAGATTTACTTCAGGATATTGTATTTGGTACTAAATTATTCTTTATTTTCAATAAATATTAAATAATTAACAGCGAATCGATTATTTTTTCTGGAAAAATATTTCATTTGATATTTGATATTTTAGTTAATAAAGAGAAATCAATGAAATTCTTTTTTGTTCTTTTTATTGTTGAAGCGTTTCTCGGTTGTGCCGCAATATTTTTTATTTCTTATATATCTTGACTTAAGAATATGATGAAATCTTGAATTTTTTTAAACATAGATCTTCAAAAGCTCTATGAATAAATCCATACCGCAAAACAAAAACAAATACTTCTAAACATTTTTATTATGCTCAATTTAATCGAAAGTTAGCTATATCTAAGATCATTCTCCAATTTCCAAAATATCGTTTAAATTACTACTCTCGAGAATGAAGTAACCAAAAGATATTTCTATATAATAAAATATGAATCAACACTATCATAGTGAAGATCATTGAAAGAGTTAGATCAGATAATTTCTGAAAAAAAAAGAACAAATCAATTCTATTGAAATCTTCTTAATTACGATTATTCAAATTCATCAAATAATAAATAATATAAACTTTCTGTTCTATTTTTCATCTTGAAAAAAAAACAACTGAATAGAATAATTTATATTTAAGAAATTAAAAAATTAAAAAAACATTCATTTTTTTAAAATTTAATTTCAAAATTTATTTTGTCAAAGTACAGACAAAAAAAAAGGAAATGAAGCGATAGCGTCAATGTCATGTATAATTTATTCTCTTAATTGTTTGATGTGTGACAAATAATAAATAAGGGATAAATGCTTGATATTGTTCGAATGATCGATGTCAGGATTTAAACAAATATTCATATGACGATAATGAGACAGTCACCGGATAGAAAAAAAAAGAAAAGAAAAACTCGAGAAGGAAAACTAATAATAATAATATTAATAAAACAACACACACATCACAAATTGGTCAGGTCATGTATATCAAAAGAACAATCTCCAAATGTCGTTCGCTGAAAATCAAGTATTACTTCAACATCTAAATCAAATGTTGACCTTGGAATTGAATTTTGTAAATTATTTGGTATTTCTAAATCCATTGATGATGCTTGTGATATTTGATTAAATAAAAGATTTGTTGATGGTGATAGAATTAATGGTGATGTTGAAAGAATTTTTCGTCGATCATTATTACTGTTTACTTTTGATTTATTCATTCGATGACGTATTATCACAACAATCATTCGACGAAATAATGGACTTTGAACGATCCATTGTTTTTAATTGTTTACTTAATTTTGATGATATCATTTGATCGATTTCATAATTACTATGAGATGATGATGGAGATGTGAACTAATTGATGAAGATTTTGATAACGATGAATATGTAATATCAATTCCTGAAAATAAAATAAAATTTGAAAATAAAAAACAAAATCTGAATTAAAACTATTGCTATTATTATTTAATGTCAATGGAGGAGAATGATTTGAGCATATCATGTTATTTATTTGGCATTTGTTGTGTTGATGATGCATATGATTAATATTGAGAATTATTTTGTAAAAGATTATTTAAATTTTTATTCATATCTCTAACAGATATAAATGATCATTGAGTTGATATTGTTGATGTTGAAAATAAAACGTTTAGTGATGATGAGATTTGTTCATTTGAAAACATACTGCAACCAATTCATTTGTTAATAGTGGCAACAGTAGACATGAAATGAAAATATATCCAACTTTGAGTAGTTTTTAAAACTCTATAAAATAGACCTTAATTCAACGCTGAAATAGATTTTGTAAAGATTTATATAGATTCTAGTTGCTTCTGAAAGTAAATTCTATTTTTAAAAACTTGAATGAATGTCTATAATCGGATGGATCATCTCTCTTTCAACTCTGGCACTATATGTATATAATATTTTTCATAAAATACAATTGTATGATAAATGGATTATTTAATGACTGACTATCATTTATTTTATTTCAAAAACAAAACAAACTTAAACACTACATCTGTAGCATAAAGATTGAGTCAACAACAATATTTGACAAAATGACTATTAACACAAAAATTGACTAATATTTAACTTTACAAGATTAAAAAGAAAATTTACAATATAAATTCAATTTTTATATACAGTTATATATTTATTTCAGCAAATCATTGAGAACTGCATATATAAGAAAATATAGATATACGTTAATTTATTTATTGATCAATGGATTGATCTATTCAAATGTGTCCATTTGTTTACTGAAGATAAAGTTTTGCTTGATTGTCATGTAATGTTAATGACGAAGAAAGTCGAAAAAGACGCGAAAGAAATAGAAATAGATCGTTTTCTTTAATAACCGAAAAGATATTTCTAAATGGTTAGCAGATTCAATCTGAGAGCATTAGTGTCTATCAGACTTCGATGAGCCATCGCAATATTAGATGAAAACCATTATCGAAATCCTAATTAACAAGATAAACTAGTGCTTCAACCGACATTTATTGTTGATAATAATATACGTCAACTTTTCTTATCATTCTGTCCCATTATTTATCATATGATGTTTTCCACAGCAACTAAGAATACTATCATATTACCACCTATCGACTGTAAAGTACACTTTTTCTCGAGTCGGATCCATACGGACCCCCATCTCAGTTTTTAAGTATAGAGAGAAAAATTTTCCATCAACCTGTGCAGTAAATGTAAGTAATATTTGCAGAAGATTATTAGAAATAGAATTTAAAAAGAAGTCCGTCTTTTCGTACTATTTTCTCGTAACTAAAATTATTCAGCGATTTCAACTAGTCTTTTAAAGTTTCAGAATACATTTTACAATGAAAGAGAATATTCTAAAAAATTCTTATATGATGATACTAAGATCGAGTTCAATTCACTTTTGCACACTCATAACATAAGATAGAACCTTCTACGTAGAATATTTTTTAGAGCTAGACGAATGCATGAAATACTATGAATTGAAACGATATCTCAACAATAATATATATGTAATTAGTTCTACTCTATGGGATCTGAGCGGATCCCAAACGACGAAAACACATTGATGCGTACTTCTAGTTTTTTTTTATCATATTGATGATGTAAGAATCGAAGACGCTTATATAATCAATATACCCATCTAACTTTCATTAATGCAATCAAACAATGAGAAGAGATATTGACATAATTATCATGATGAACTTTTTCATACAAGATTTTCATCGACAATTTTAGCCACTATAACTTAAATTCAATAATTGGCACTGAGATCAAAAACCACCGATCGGAGTCGATCATATAACTAGAAAATCGAAGAAATCATCTTAAAATCTGTTCAAATCCAACAGGAATACGAGGTCCAGAATCTTTCGATCTGGACAAGCATTGATAGTCTATCTAGACTAAGGCATCTTACATGAGAAAATTGAGAACATAAGAAAAAAAATCAAGATATTTTCTTTCGTTCAACAATTTTCTATTAAATAATTAATGCTGATCAACAAGTTTTGTGTTCTTTCTCAAAGAGCACAAGAGAAATCTATCTTCGACAGAAATTCTCGTGATACAATACCAATTAACTTGTCAAAAGTTGACTGGTGGTCTCTAATATTATCTGCATTTTAGGATGACAGAAAAGTTTATTTGAAATAAAAATTTTAGAGTGTATTACAGAAATTTAGCTCATAGAAGGTAAAACAGATGAGATTTTCTAATGGCTGGCTACAACGAAAAAAAAATTTCAATAAAAGTGCTAATGATATACACGAACATTAACTTGAAATAGATCTCGTCGTTGGCGATATTTCCACTCATACAGTTCTTCATAAAGTAGAACTGATATATTTCTGTTAGGTCAAATGAAATTAATGCGACTAACTTAACGTAAATGTGATTCCATATGCTAAGGTGATACTTGTCAACATTTGTCTCTTGTTCATCTTATTAGTTAACGCATCTTCACATCGACGATTAAAAGCAAGAAAAAGATTGACGAGGCAACAAAATTTAGTTCAATTATTTTTCACTCTTTCTCACAATTTTTCTTTCGCCAGAAATTATCTATTGACTTTACCGTGTATATTGAATTTCGTCTCGGTCAATTCGAGTAGCTGCCTAATTCGAGTTCGAATATAAATGAAAATCTACCCGAAACCGCTGGCACATTTATATAAGTCTGGGAAAAGAAAAAAAAAATTTTCCAAATTATAATTTATAATTTATAATTTATAATTTATAATTCGAATAGGCACATTTATATTAGTCTGGGAAA